CATGCGTTTAGCTTGAACTTATATGTGTAACAATACTTAAATTACAGTATTAAATAAGACACACATCAGATAACCAGCTGTCTCCCAGAAGATTGATGCATGAAGCAGCAGTTGATATGCTTCATTACAAAAAAGTAAAATAAAAAAAAAGAAGTTAAAATTAACGGATAACATATTGAAAGAGTACGTAATGAAGAAGGGCCATGGGTTGCACAAGGTTAATAAAATGACCTTACTGGCAACAAACAATACACAAAAAAGTTTTACATGAGCTATTCGTAATTACGAATAGTACCGTACAAGCTAAGAAATGCACAGACACATGCGATTATTCCGGAAGAAATCGCGATATCTAAAAAGTGGGTTATTTCTAATTTCTTCGAGAACCAGGATAAAACGAAAATTTACCAGAATTCAACGGTACTTTTGGCGTTTCAGAATTTGTAGAATTTCCTAATATAGAGTTATGATGCAAAATGTTTGTTTACATGATTACACAGGAAAGGATACACTCCAAGTTCTCTGAAAGAACAATGGTAAATAACAAAACCACAAAAATAGTTCATGAAAACATTATCCAAAATACCATAATTAGTTTCACACAATAATACACATTAATATTTCATTAACAAGCCAATACCTGGCTTCGATACTAAGCTTAAGATCTTATACTTGATGTAGTCCTGTTGCTGACACAAGTAATGGCCTTTTTTCTTTTTGTTTTTTGGGTGTTAAGTCTTAGGACTTTTTCTTTGTAATTTATTGGTATGAACACTCTCAATGTGTATATTTTTATTGGTTAACAAAAATGATTAGCTGATTCTACGTGTTTTTGTTTTCAATATTAGCTCAAAAGTATTCAAGGGCTAGCCAGTTCTTAAGCTACCCAAGAACCAACCAAACAATGTGATTTGACCGTCAACGTTATAACCCATCCACACACTCAAAGTGCAGAGCGCTATTTTTCCCCCACCTCCATAGTCACTGGGCCATTTTATGTTATTGAGAAAAAAAAATGTTATCACTAATTATTGTACGTGTAGGGAAAATATACCAGTCGTACACAAACTGGTACACCAGAAAGCGCTGTATTACTTAAACGTTTATTATATCAAAGTTGAAATATTTTAACTGATTGGTAAGAAGGGAATAGATCAATAAATACACAAACATATGTGAATTTAAGAATTGCATTATACTGTGACATAACTCCCTTGAGCTACCGTAGGTTTTACTTATTAGTTATACCTATCTATTACATGCAACAGTGAGTTTCTTTCTTCAGACATTAGAAATATATCTTCAAAAATACAACAACAAAAACAAACCTATGCATATCTGTTTACGTTAACATGACATGTGATGAACGCTAAAATACAGTTGTCGTTTTATTAATTTAAAGTCAAACATTGCAAGTGAAAAAAGTGTTACGTACATTTTTAACACTGAAGTTTTTAAATTTTTTTTTTTATTCAACACTAGTTTCAATTTGTTGAAACTATGCTTCACATGGGGAACACTTACAAAATTTCACAAGTAAATAGTGTTACATATATTTTACTAATGCTGGTTGGGGTGGTACAATGTAATAGTAAGTCCTAATTTTTTGTTGGGAAAAGAGTAGCACAAGAGTTTTGACTAGCTAGCTGCCTTTCCCTCAGTCTAACACTTCAAAGCTTCGGACAATTATTGCGCAGATAGCTCTCGAGTATTTTTGCGCGAAATTGAACAAACAAATACACTTAAAACTATTAATTTACAAACATACACACACACACACATATATTTATACGTATGTATAGAAACTGCATAATTGTATCTATACAAATGAATGAAAAAATGTAGTAGGCCTAATAAGAGTGATAAAAATCACACTCCACTGCACGTTTTATACAAATATATATATATCTTAATAAGTCAATTACGGATTTTAAATTACAAGCGTGTAAAAACAGCATTTAAACCTATTTTGGGCCGGTACAGGAGGCCTTTAATTTAATACAATTTATCAGTTACTGGTTACATTGTGATTTTTGACTTTCAAAAACGCAAAAGAAAGGCGTGTGAATCTCTGTACGGTATGTTTTTCTTTG